CCGGCGGAGCCAGCACAGCCGCCTGCGCGGGCCGCGCTCCCCAAGTGATCGGGATCGCTCGGAATGACTACCTTTAGTCATTCTGCCAGTTCTTGTGTCATCTGCAGAATTATTATTTTTTTATTTTTTTTTTTAAGTAGAGGTAATTTTACACTTCAAGCTGACGGGTGAATGTATTGAATAGTGTGAAGAGGAGTACTTACCCATTCAGAAAACTCTGCAGAAACACCCCCATTTAACCGTGATTCATCACAGACAACTACTACAAGCCATTTCAGTTGAAATCTTAATCCATTTAATGCACAGTTTTCTACTACGTAGTGTTTCAATGCAGATTGTCAGCTTAAATGAAACCCTTCTGCCAACTTAAATGTTGTATCTACACACTATTTACATCCAAAGCTGTAGTTTCAAAGAACTGAAAGCAGACTTTTAAAGTAATTTTCCATTGTAAAGTTATGGAAACTAACATTATTTTTACTCCTGCTTTTCATGAGCTGAATCCTATGTTCAGATTCTTTTGTGTTGCCCAGACTCCATGCCAAGCTAATGGGCCTACAGCTATTTAAGTCAACTCATTTGCCACCTTTTAGTATCAATTAGCTATCAAACCCATTTCCACTTTCTGTAATCTTCATAATATTCTAACGAGTTAATGCAAACTAATTGTAATCATAGATTTCTGCAGCCAGTCATCCAGAGATTCTCAACATAACAAACCTGAGTCTGCAGATTTGAAAATAGACTTCACTTACTATTTGCCAGTAGATTGGAAAATGGTTCATTTGTATTTAAATACCTATCCCTTATACTGCTTTTTTCAAAAGACAAAGAGGAAATATTAAGTAGCTCTGCCTTTGAGCTGATCTTATCCCTCTTCCAGACAGTAACCTTCACAGATGACCTTTGTTTTCAAGAAGTCTTAAGATAATTTCTACAAGCAGTTGGATATGCTAAAAATACTACTTTTGTGGAAATCTGCTTGTACCAGTACAGCTTAGTTTTGAACAATTTAAATTTAAACATAAATTTAAGATCTCAGCTCTCCAAAACTCCTTCTCTTACTGTCTAATACCTTTTAAGTTACATGTTTAACATACAGATTTCAGAACACTGAATAAGATACTCAGTGGCTTCCACAGGATTTATGCAGCAAACAGCAAAGTTAGATTCTGATAGATGGGAGTTTTTTTGTTTATTGCAGGAGGGTTAGTTGGTCATTGTTTTGGTTGTGGAGTTTCTTTGCTGTGCACCTGTTAAGAGTGTGTGTGTTCACCTTAAAGCACATTAGCAAAAATACCTGATATCTAAGGCCAGGGCTTATAAGAGCAGATGTCACAAACCAGTATTGGTATTATATGCCCTTTAATTAGAACAAGGCTACAACACTGGGGGGTGGGGGGGGAAGCCTGGGTTGGAACCAGGAGAGCTGTAAAGCTCATGTTATGGAATTCATAGTGCAGTATTATGCATGGGCGTCCTCTTCTAGAGCTCATGTTTTACACTAGTTTCCTCCACTCTACCAGCAGAATAAAGGATTGTTAATACTCTGAAAACAAGCTCAGTTGTAAGAAATTGATCCACAAGGCCTGCTAGCACCATTCTACTGGTATTTAATTTTTTCCAGTCATTAAAGGATAGCCAATTACCATACAGGAGTAGTTTTGCATTTTCTTTAGACAGTGGAAGGTTTATTTATGGATTGATAAATACAATATCCAGTCTCACTGGGACAATAAGGCACAACTGTAGGTTACAACTATATAGCCAGAAAAGAGCAACACCGACTTTTTTTAAGCAGATCACAAAGCCTACAAACACTCTTTTTTTTTTTTTACTTTTCAATCTTTAAACATTGTTACATTCCTATTTTACATGACACGGTCATAAAACTTTAGTGTTTCTTTCTCATACAGAATAGAGGTTTTTAATTTACATTTCTTTCTGGAATTGTGCTGCACTCTGCAAGACAATGAAGTGCAAGATTTCACTTTGCAATTCCTTAATTTAAAACACATCAAAAATCCTTCAGAGACTTGCATGTTATTGTTTAACACAAGTGATGATTAAAGGAACTGAGAAAAAAGGAAATGCACATTTGAGAGTAGTTTGAGACTGGTAAGTATTTATAGAAATGTTAACACATGACATAGAGAAGCAGTTATAACACTGATTCTTCAATAAAGAAGCTCCCAGGGTTTTTTGGTTTTACTGGAAGGACCTCCCAGGCTGTAGGATGCTCCAGCTGAACTAGATGAGATCATTTGCCAATCTAGCCACAGAAAATTATGTTACTATTGAACCTTCAGTGATTTTGATTTCTTAAATTTATCAGCATTATATTAATGGAATTAATCATCTTACATTTGCAAAGGGATTTGCACAGAAATATGTTCTGAAATATTTGGGATAATCTGTGCTTCTCCAAATTATATTCTTATGCCAGAGCTTTCATAAATACAGCTTCCACCCTCAACACAAATCTAACAGACCAGGACTTCCATACTGGAAAATGTGAATAATTACTGATTATCCAGGCCACTATGACTGAGAAAATAAAAATAAAAATCAGTACTTTCATGACACTATTACCAGGGGGCAGTGACAGAACTGCAAATCCAGATTTTGGCATGACTAGTTTTCTTGCATTATGTACACTGGTAAACAAGTTTACACTTTCAGAGGCAAAACCACCCCAATGAGATGAGGTATCCTAGAGCAAAGCAAACTGGAGAGGGCACTTCATGGTCCACTGGCTGTCAAGCCTGCAAGCTACTCAGTGGAAAGAAACAAGTTTCTGCATCTGCTACTGGAACAATTTAAGTGACTTAGTGCAGAATTCCTCTTCCTTTTGAGGACACTGCAGCCCATCTCCACCACAGATTCTCCTATTGTCCCTGTGAATTCATCCCACAAAGAATAAAAACTGTTCACAGTACTTTAAAGTACTGTAGGCTATCATCATGCATTCAGTGTTAGTTGTACAATGAAGCCATAGAAATTGAGAAGTCCTCAAGTAAAAGGCAGATTTGGAAGCAGCCAAGAAACAAATCTGCATGTAAAAAGCGAAATGGGAAAGAAAAAAAAAAAAGGCAGCTGTAATGTGGTGTTGCTACTGGAAGCAAAAGTGAATCATTATCACTGCACCTAGTATTTGAGTAGATGCTTTTCTCCAAAGTGTTTCAGAGGGCGCTTCTGTGGCATGTTCCCGTTTTTCCATTCTCAGATTCAGAGCTCAGAAGAATCAGTTTGTAGATTAAACAGCAGTACGTATGGAGAGACATTTTTGCTGAAACAGCAGTGCAGAAGGAGACAAGGGAGAAAGGGTAAAAAAAATGGAAGGAAAAGATTTTTAAAAAAATTGCTCCTTTCCAAGTTGCATGGCAGCCATTTCCCTTTGTTCCTGATGTACAGGGAATGTTCACATTGGTAGAACAAATCAGAGAGGGGTTGGAGATGTATTGTATATGCACCAGTAGCAATGCTCTGGGGGAAGGTGCTAAGGAGAAAATTAAGTTCTATTCATTATACAGTAGGGGTACAAAGGAATAGGTTCTCCATCCATCAGTGAAGAAAGCGAATGCTCATTTTCTGCTCTACATCCACCTTCTCCAAAACCTGCAATAAAATTCAGAAACAGCTACTTAAGTTACTGTACATACTTCTCTCCTACAATGTTTCTTACGCTAGTACAGAGGAAGTGGGCAGGAACATGAGATGTCTTCAGTTTGGCATGCTGGTCTTTCATCTATAGACTGCTATTTTTCATTCTGGACTAAGGTCCTTCCAAGGAAAGAAACTTCAGCCATTAAAGCTGGAAGAAGGCTGTCAATCAAAACATAACTAATGCAGTTTCAGTCTGCCAACAGCCCAGAAAGGCTTGGATTCCCAAAATTAGATTGTGTGGGAATGTACAGCCAGGAAACAGAAGGGAGAACCAAGTATAGGAAGGGACATGAACAGTCACTGAAGAGCTAAAATGAAGACCACAGCATCACTAACACATCATTGTAACACTGGGGTGGCAACTTCACTCACTGAATTGCTATTAACACTGAGGTACAAAGACAGTGTGCTCAGCCTGTTTCATGCAGTAGACTTTAGGGTTCCAAGATCAGAATAATTTACATTTGAAGAGACGTCTGGAGGTCTTTAGTCCAACTCCCTCAATTCCTGCTTACAGCAGGGCCAGCTAGATCAGGGCCATGTCCAGTTAAATTTTAAGTATCTCCAAGGAAGGAGGTTCTACCATCTTCAGCACCTAGGATCATCCTCATGGTAAAAAGTTTTCCTTATAGCTAACCAGAATTTCCCATGTTGCAACTTGTTTCTGTTGCCTCTTGTCCTGTCTTTGTCCACCTCCAAGACGAGTCTGGCTCCTCTCATCAATACCATCTCATTATGTAGTTGAAATTCTTCTGCTATAGGACAGCTTTCTCCACTGATTATATAATGGCTCTTTACTATTCCCTATTTCTGACTAACAAAAAGATGTTATTCAAAGGACTAGAGCTAGGAACTTGAATACTGGTATTAGTTGTGTGGCTAATGTGTAAAAATCTACAAGTGAAAACTGATCAGCACAATTACAGCAGAAGAATTACTCTGTTGTAACTGTGCTAGTCAGACTACTTGTGTAGAAAGAAGTGGTTGCAAGAGAAAAAAGTGAAAATTCTGCAGTATATTCAGTGCTCTAGCTTATGTAAGAGTATGAAGAAACATATGGACTAATTATTAGTACCATGACAGTATAAAAAAAAAAAGTTCTGATAAGGAAAGAAAAAGAGCTAGCTTTGCCCAAATACAGGCAGGCCTATTTGAACGACTTCCTCTCTGTTTCCATTTGCATTTAAGTCTGAATGACTTGCCCATTACTGAGCAGTTTCATCTAGTTGTTAAAAATGTAGTTTACCAACCTTTACAAACTCTGCAAAGGAGATGGCACTATCTCCATCTTGATCAGCTTCCTGGATTGTCCTGTCAGCAATGCTGCCCAGCTGCTCATCTGAAATGTTTACACCAACCATCATCCGTAATACCTGTAACATACAGAAGTCCCTAGATTTTATTTTTTTTTAAATAAGAAAACAAAATAACCATTATCAATATAAGAACAGAAGTATTCTTAGTGCTGTTTCTCTCATCTATACTGTCAAAATAACACCATACAACAACAACCCTGGAGGATTTCCACGGAAGTAATTTCTAGACAGACTTCTGTTTGTACATCAAGGCTTTCAGGAAAGACAGCTTCCTTTTGCAGCCACCTTTGACAAAGAATCTTGCTTTTCCACTAGGCAGCAGGAAGTGGTAGAAGTACGAGAAAGCTTTTGGAACTAGGAATGAGTAATTTTTGTTCCAATGCTTTCTATTTTTTTCCCCACAAAACTTACCAACATTTGATTGAATATCTGCTGTCTGAGATAGTTGCCTACAGGAATCTTGTAAGTATATGGTCAAATGATAACTGCCATTACTCTACAGTTAGTAAAGCATTTTCTGTGCAGATAGAAGAGGGCAGTTTCGGTCAAAAGCAAATCCTTGTCCTACATCAGGAACCACAAATTGCCATGTCTACTTCACAGGATTAGTAGTATGTAATTACTCCTAGCTCAAGCCTAGTTCCATATATATGCAGCACTGATGAACTTTGATTACCTTTGCTGCAATTTCAAGAAGTTTTGCTCTGTTGAGAGGATGTACAGAGGATCAAACAACCTAATCCACCTCATGGCTTGTCCCTGTGAAGTCCTGTTAAAAGCACCTTTGAAAGTTACAGAAGGTAGTTCTTAAGGGGCTTAGTGTATTTCTTGGATATTTAGGTATAATTTCCAATAAGATCTGCTTAGCGTAACACTCTGCTTTAAATCTGAATCTAGCATTCCCAGTCTGATACGACAGCCTGGGCTATCAAATCAGATTAAAGTCTCATACCATATCTAAAGCTTTAAACCAGAGAAGCAATTAGCCACCAAATTCCTTCAGGAGTTCTTTTGAGAAGACTGTTGTAACTCCTGTCTTCATTCTAAATGGGTGTGAAGTCAGAGAAGGTCACAAAGGAGTCATTCAAAGCAACCCTGTGCTATTTACCTGAAGAAGCTCATCTCTGGAAATCTTGTCATCTTTATCTAGATCATATAGCCGAAAAGCAACTACAAGGAAGAAAAGAATGAGCAGTTTAATTCAAGTGTCATTATTTTTCTTCATAACAATATATGTATCTAATAAAAAAAATAGTAAGTATTCATAAATCATTTTAAAGAGAATTAGCTTAGAATTTTAATTCACCATAGACTTCATGTTCCATTCCATAATAGTGTTATTACTGCATACAGGAATAACATTATTGCCCAGAAATGAAAAAAATCTTAACTACTCAGTATGAGTAATTTCAGAGGCACTCTGCTTGCAGAGGTATTTCTTCAAAAGCCTGAGTCATAGAAGTGTAATTACCACTAAGATACATTCAATCCTTTAACTTCTGAGCCAACCATTTTTACATTACGCATTCACTCTGACTATATTCTGGATGAGATATGACAGAAGTTTTAAGTGCTCTGAGGAGTGTTGCCAACTTAGATTAGCAAGCAAGAGCATTCCGCTCTTGTGGGCAGATGTCCAAATACTCAAGAAAGTACTCAGCTGAAGGTGAGAAAAAAGCACTATATTGTATGAAAGACTGGAGAAAGAAGCAGAAAAGCTCATTCATGTACAGGATGTAGTTTCTAAATCTGAAATAACTTTGGATGTAAACAATTTTGAAACAGTCCTGTTGAGACATTTGGAAAAGCATATACATTATTCAAGATTCAAACAATTCCACCGAATTCTAATACAGAATGGGTCAATCATTGACATTCTGAACAGGTAAGCTTGCAAGTTAATTTAAAAAGGTCAGGTATTAGGAGGATATCATTCCACAGGGAATGACTGTACAGAAGACCCCAAGCCCCTTCACTTCCTTCCCAGAAAAACAAAAAAAGAAAAAGAAGGTTCACATTACTTACAGTGGAGCTTGTTACTTCGGCTGTTCAGTGGTTCTGGTCCATTCTGGTCTTTGCTCTTTTCATTATCTTCTATGGGTCGGAAGTGGGCTAGTGTCCTCATGAATCCACGGAAATTCACCTGGTCCTCTCTGCACAAGCATTTCAGCAGGTCAGTTTTAGCATAGCTTATACAGGTTCTTTATTTCAGTAAAGAAAGGTATGAAAGTCTAAAGCATCAAGACCACACAGACTCCACTCCCACCTCCCCAGCAGAGTTTGGCCACCTATGCTCAAACCCAGCTCTGATACAGTGCAGTTGCAACCTGGGATCATGCTGTTGTGAAGTATGATGTGTTTAAAACAAAAAAAAAAAAAAAACCCGTGAGAAGTCTTGTTGAGGGCTCCCCTCCCCTTGCCTGCAAGCTCTATTTAAACTCAAGCCCTCATCCTCGGCCCTTGCCTGAGCTGTCCTGCAGCTATGCCTGAGTGTGGCAATGTATCTTGCTAATCTGAACACCGATTCCCTGGATTGACCCAGGGGATTGACCACTGTCAACTTGTCTGGCAACCACTGGACTGTTGGCTGATGTGAGAACAGTCACTGGACCTGCCCTGGTTTTCTTGTTCAGGTGCTGTGCCCTTTGTTAGCAAGTATATCGCCCCTGCCAGCTTTGCTGTCACCCTTCGCTCACTGCTCTCTGACAAACAGCTCTCTTCTCTAGAGGTTCTGCAGGAACCAGCTACGTAAGTGCTTTCCAGGACTCCTGCTTTCTAGTCAGGAAACCCTGCCTGGTATTAGCTGATATTACAACTTGATTAGACAATCCGATCTTCATCAATCAGTAATGACAAATTTGTTCAAGGACAGGAGCAGATTCTATAGAACAATCTAGAGAGGTATAATGAAGAGACAGTACTGCAAATAGTCTCTTTGGATTTATGTTAGAAGTGCCACAAGCTATGTCTTAAATGCGATCAAAAAATAAAATCGACCAACCATACAAAAAAGCTGATCTAATAACAAAGGTACACTGAGAGGCTACAAGGTGAAAAACAAGACTGAATTAGTTAATTGCCATACTACTTAGCATAAAATAGTATTGCTATAAGTTTGCTTTAAGAACCAAAGTCCATACATGCCCTTGACTTTCTTTAGGAGTGTTCAACAGCATAGCAAGAAGAGTAGAAAACTGTGACATGAAGCCTGAGTTTGTCAGTGAACAAAGCACACAAAACTTTAAGGTTGTGAAGTATTTCTCATTACAGAATGAAAATATGCTGAGGAAACAATGTACCCACGCACAATTCATGACAATTTTGAGGTGTTCAATTATTAGTAAATTCAAATTCTGTGCTTTTATTATCAGCATTTCACTTGTATCAGAACTGCTGACAAACCAAATTTTGTGCCTACTTACAAATTCAGTCCATTGGAACTCACCCTTCTGGAAAGAAGGCATTGATAATTCTGTCTCCCAGTGGATTGATGGCAAGCTCTGGAATCCGCTGGAAGTCTTCACGGCTAAGTAAAGCAAGAACACAAGAAGTCTACATAAAGTTGAAGTTAGAGGAGAAAAAGTTGCTTAAAAAAGAATTCACAGTAAATCATCTGTTGGGTTCTATTTCTGCAGCAAGATACTTGGTGGTTTTTAAAATGTAACTCTTCAAATCATGTTTGCACTATGACTAATGGCACAAAGCAAAGCAAAAGACAATGCCAAGCCTGTATTACATTTTAGACTAGCAGTGTTCATTTATCATGTTAACAGCACTTCTCAGATGCTAACATTGTTTGTGCTAGAAACCTTCCTGTAAGAATACTGACCAGTTTGCAATTTAAGGAAAGGAAAGCTTCTGAATTCACTTTGAAGGAAAATATGGCTTCAAAATGAAAACTTTTTTTTAAATAAAGATTTATATTCCTACTGAATCATTTGAGTTGGCATGATTTTTACAGACTACCCCATTCAAGATTCTTGGACAATGTACTCCTCCAAACATATCATAGGTGATCTGCATATTCCAAGAGAATTTTTTTGTTGTTTATGCAACTTTATACATTATTATAAATGCCAAATTTCAGATTATTTTAGCTTCAATCAAGCAACACTCCTATTTTAAAGTAGGACATTTAGGCTTTGACAGGGGCTTGCATGCCAAATGTAACTTCACCAGTACACTGGAAATACTCACTGCTCTTGCCAGCCATTCTCCTTTCTGCTCACAGTTAACATGTACACAGTATAGCATAAGCATAGCTATGCTTACATTGTTATAGATTTTTATGATCTGGAAGGCATCATGAGCTGTACTGATATAAACGTATCTTAGATCAGTATGACAGGAACTCAGGGTTCATTCTATTTTTAGAGTTGCACTGATAAATTTTTCTTTTCTTTCAACCTAATAACATGTCACTGACAGGGAAGAGGGATAATCTTGGTGTGACCCAGGCAGACACCTTAGTGAATACTTCAGTGAACAGGTTTGGTTTTGGGTATTTCTGGTGGGTTTTTTCTTTTGTCCCCTCCCTGACAACAACAGAGCACAGCAATTTATCAGCTAGTAAAAGATGTACTCCATAATCATTCAGGTTTTAAATTGCAAAGATAACACCAATAGGGTAAGACTGTAAAAAATCTATTCTGTCTGGATGTAGAACTTGACACTTCCTGCCCAGTCTCCAGAAATACTGGCAATTCTCTTCAAGTCAAATGCAGTCCTGCTGGTTTTGAAGTTTGGGTCAAAGTCTCAAACTTGGTTACTAAATGTTTGCTACTTTTGAATACTACGCTCACTAAATGAATAAGCAACAAGGTTTAATTCATGATGTCATTACACCAAATAACTGGCAGACTAAAGTAAAATAATCTCAGTCTGTGTTAAGTATACTGGCCTTTTATAATATTGTGATCTTAAAGAAAGGGGTAAAAGGAATTGGTTAACTTTATTACTAGTCTAGGGGAAAGGAACAGAAGCAAGACATTCTAGTTTTAAGTGCATTCTAAAAGCACTCCTTGCACCCAGTCACACCACAGCACTGTTAAGAGTCCCAGTTAAAATATATCTGTTACAACATGGTTAAACTGTTCGACCTTCTCATAGAGTGACCTGACCAGATTTTAAGCTATCCCAGCAAACTTCTGCTCTGAGCAGGTCTGAGTTATTTTTAACAGGCAAAGTTAACAACTGTATAACATGATCAACTTGTTACCAGACCCTTCAGGACTGCTGCATTTTAAGCTATAGCTGAAGGGCAAAGTATGCATTAGTGATTTAGGCAGGAGATGCAGTGATGTGGAAAACCTGTCCTAGTAACAGCATTTTAACAATAGGACTCCAGTGTCAAGGCTAACATTTACAAGACAAAAGCAGCAACTACCCTCCCTTCTGTTTAGAGCAAAATCCTAACGCTTCATAATTTTCTTGCGTATCACTATTTCTTAGTATTGAAGCTGAATTTACACTTGTCATTTCAGTCTCCAGTTGTTCTGCTTTCTAACAGGAGATTAACAATTAACCACTAATAACTCCCCAGGTTTCAAATCTATTTGTCCTGTCATTATCAGCATTGCAGTAGACCATTTTTGCTTATTAAGAGCACATTACTAAGTGAATGTTATAACTGAAATAGCTGTAACAGCCATAAAAGTAAATGAATGCATGAGGTAAGTTATTCTCTACTTTATAAACTAAGGCTTCCTGCAGTTGCTAGGGTCCAAATTCACCTGGCTGAGGCTGGAGCTTACAGGAAATCTGATGCCCTCTACTTCTTCTGTATTCATGTGCCATAGCAACAAGGTTCTTCTAACATATTGTTCCAGGAAGCTGGCTTCTATTAAATTCCTGCTTAAACATAACATGCAAAGCAACCTTTAACTGCATGTTATCATGCAGGCCAAACATTTAATATATATGCCAGTGCATTCACACTTAGACATACTCAGAATGTACGAATTTCCTACTGCAAAGTAAGACAACATTTCTAAGCATGAGTATATCCTCCAAGGCACATAGCAGATCCCTACCGCAAAGGCGGTTCTGGCTTACCCAAAGGCTGCAAGAAACCTACTAGATCCTTTTTCTTCTTCTATTATTTCTGGTTGTTCATTGTTCTTTTGCTTCTAGATAGTAACAGAGTACTGTTCCCTCAACAGGTATGAGGAGGGTAGGGCTATCTAGAGCTGAGGGAAAGTAAAACAATGGAAAGAAAAAGCATACACGGAACAGAAGTGGCAGAGGAAAAGAAAAATGTCTACAGCATATAGGTAACAAGAAATTACTTGAAAAAAGGGAACTAACTGAAAGAAGTAAGGCGTATCATGCAAGATGGTCAAACAGATTTAACAGGTTACTATTGAAGAGGTTTCATTGTTCCCTCCCTTACTAACATTAGCTTTGACATTCATCAAACCTTTTGATGGCCTAATATATCTCACTAACCCCAAAAAAAGCTCCCCACCTTCTTCCTCTCCATCCTCCCCATTATCATTCTGTTGAATTAGCAACTTGAAGCAGTTAACTTCAAAAATCTAACAGCACTATGGCTGACAGAGGTGCTGGGAGCCTGGAGAAATGACAGGGCAAGGGGATGGACATTCTCTTCTTTGCTGG